AATTTTAAAATGAGCATATCGTTAGAATTTCCGATACACAGTTCCATGCGCTCAAGATAAAAAGGTTTCCCGTAACTAGAGATTTGAAGACCCAGGGGCGACAGATAATAATGGGATCAATCTTTTTATTATTTCTCTCAAATTTATTTACTTTTTTTCCCCAGTTATGAATGATTTTTTTAAATAATTAAAGCAACTTTATAAACTTTAATCAAATGAAAAAGTTTTCGATGAATGTCTTGTTGGTATGTGCTGTTATACTATATTATTTATGTTTAATGTCAAAAAGTATGATTTCTGAAACTATTTGATATCATACAGAGAGTAAAACAAAGTGTTTGCAATATAGTTAAGTTAAAATGTTTACTAACAAATTATTCAATATACTTCATTACAAAATACAAATTATTCAATACACTTGAATTACAAAAATCTCTGTTTTCTAAATGTTAAAGAAGCTAACTTCTTTTTTTTTTATTTCAACAAGGTTAATTTTTTGGTCCTGGATTATTCTTAAATGAATGCAAAGATCAAATGGCGAGACTTTTGTGTCCATAACTGTTTCTCAACTAATTGTTTAATAATTTCAGTTTTGAGTTCAACCTTAGTTACAGTGACAGGAACTGTTAAAGGTCAGGGCTAATATGCTCAGGGTGACAAATCATCATCATACAGGTATCATCAAAGGTGCTAATCATAATTAATACATAGTAGCACATATCAACAAGATATTCATTGAAAATTGCTTTAATGAAACTGTTACAAGATATTTTCGACATCCTCTGGTGCCCCACAAATGCTTTTATATTATTGAGCCGTAATTAATATATTTTATTTTATTTCTGTTTTTGCTTGGTAAATTTGATCATATAACAATTTAGAGATTAATTTCTTTTCAAGAGAAATACATTTAGATTTAATGTGCATAATTTAATTATTGGTAGTATTCCGCTTTGAGGACCGTAAAAAAATTGCAACGAAAATGTATGTACAAAAGCGCCAAATCTAGCATATGCGCTGATTTCAATTGCAAAGTTTATTATTCATATTTCTTAACAACCATTGAATACGGTATAGTCTTTTAATATCCGGATTAGTCCGAACTTTGGTGATTCCAGATATTAGATCATCAATTTAAATCTTGGTAAGGATGAGCATGCAGAAATTATACAATTAAAAATATGAAATAAAGAGCAATTATGATCTAAAAGGTATCAAAATTTGCAACAAAAAAAAAAGCTTAATATTTATTTGTTTACTTTATTAAAATATTTTTGTTTGATGGAGATCGAAACATGTTTTCACTTTGTAGATCCTTTGGCGCTCAGAATCAGAAACTCTTTTTGACTCATCGAAAGTTCAAGCTTACTTTTTATAAAATTGCTCTAACATCTGCAAAAAAATACCAGCCGGATTCCCATTAGCTTCAGGAACAATGCCCTCTGCCCTTACCTGAATAGATATTAGATAATTTTAGCCTAAGCTTATACCATCCGTTATACATTAAACGCTAGCCTACATATATGCAGCGTCAGGATTATGCCATTATGGACGTCCGGATTAAAGACTTTGTACTGTACTAGGTTAATTCTTAAACCCTTTTTGGAATTTTAATCCTTTTTGAATCCATGGATTTAACATTTGGGAACTGCCCCGTGACGAAAAGTCTGCAATAAATTTTGAGTTAAGTTCAGAATCACCCCCGCTTGACGCGTTTAAAATGCACATATCGGTACCATGTACACATCGACCTATTTTCACTTAAAAAAAAAATCCAGAATGCACAAAAATGTCCTGCGCACACCCTTGACTTTATCTATGTACACACTGACTAATTTTCACTTAAAAAGTAAAAGAAAATTGACAAAAATCTAATTGGTTTTACCCTTGTAAAAAGTGGCAAATAAGTGGGCGATTCTGCACTTTACCGAGAATTTTTTCATAGAAAAGTCATCATTCATTATAGAAAATTATGTTTGAACAACCAACGAGATAAAATTATCCTTTAGCGATAACTCGGGAGTGAAATAGCGATGCAGGCATCCATTCAGTCATGTTTAGCCTTTTTTATATAAATTATAATATTATTAAAGTATTACATGAAATTAACTTTACATCTAAATTAAAACATCAATCCTAGATAGTTATTTACTATTATACTACCTTTTTTGTGTTAGGGTTGCTGCAACTATTTTTGGTAGCACTGGCATCAATAATAGTTTGGCGATTTTTTTACGGCCCTCAAAACTGAATAGTACCAATTATTGTTATTTGTATAAATACAAGTCCTGTTTTTATCAAAATATGCAATATCAGTAATTTTATCAGAATCATTACATGAAAATAACCTCAGTTTGTAACAAAATTTTATAATTTCTGGCATGATCTATGATGATTTTGCATTAGAGAACCCAAATTTTGCATTATAAATGTTAAAGTTTAAAACACAAATTTAAGAATTAATATACACAGAAAGCTATAGCAAAATATAAAATGATAAAATTAAATATAAGATTTTTTTAAACAACACATACCCAAGATACAACTCTGCCACCCACACATGGCAATTTTGCATTGTCATCACTTATTTCTTCTTTAACAACCCTAAATTAGATAAAAAATAACATCATACAAATTTTACTCTAAACATTGTTTGGAAAAACATGCAGTATAATTCAATTTATACAGCAAAGAAAATTAAGCTGTAAGTAATTAAACCAAAATTTATAGATAAGTACTTAATTTTTTACAAAACCAATTAATATAAAAAAATCTTACCCAAAATCATCATCCATCGATTTGAAGTAAAATTTATAGTTAGGTCTATTAAGCACATTTTTGAAATCTCCAAGTGTTACACGATCAGGTGGTACAGAAAGCTTTACTAAATATGGGGTATCTTCATCATCAATATGATATATTATCTTTGTTTCTTCTAAAGCCATTCTGAAAATGCTCTGAAAGTAAAGTGGAATACTTCACATTAATATTTATCAGCATTTTAGTGTAGGAAAAGATATGCTGTGGGGGAACTGAGAAGGGGGCCTAAAAACTCAACTTCAATAACAAATGATCCTAAATTTAACAATTATTATATAATAAAGCAATTTTAAAATAATTTAAACAATCACTAAACATTTTTCAGGGATTTAATGATATTAATCATATATCAAAATCGCTGATTTATATCAAAGGATTTAAAAAAATACTAAAGCCCATTTATTCACCTATTTTTTTAAATTATTGAATTCACTTCCCCCCCCCCAAAATAGAAGCCTTTTGTACAAATAGAATTGTTTAAAATATCTTTGACAAGCCATGGTAGCACAATGCAAGAAAGTATGTAGCTTCTAGTATGACTTTGCTATCCAACTAATCTCAAGCATAAATCTGATAATTAACATGTTAATTAAAAACTTGTATTGCGTGATTTAAGTAAATATGTTGTAAAAGCACTATCTTCTCAAAAATCTAAAATAGTTCATCAAACAGGTAACATATTTTATACTATAAATGCATCATTTCAAGTGTAGAAAGTCATTTATAAAAATTTAATGGAGATCCTGCATCCTGGATATAAAACTCCTCTTAAATGTAACTTAATAATTATTAAATTATATATATGAAAAAATAGAAATATGCAATAATGTGTTAGTTAATCAAGAGTACAAATGATATTGTTGGTCTAATATCAATAGTCAACCAATAGCTTGCATATATGTAGATGAAAACTATTAGTATATTATTAACATCACATTCAAATATAAATGTTGCATTGAAAAAGTTGAAAACAAATTTAAATGCGAAATGTATAATTTTGCAAGTTATGCACCAAAATAACAAGAAGAGAATTATAAAACAATTTTCAGCTTATATCTACTGGTTGTTTAACAAATACACTTTATTAGTCAGAGATTTAAATATATGAGATGTTATTTTGTATGTTCTTCAAGACAAAAAATATTTTTCAAATCAACAGCTTACTCAAGTAAAATTTAATTAATACAATGGAACTGGTTTTAATATACGACCAGAAGCCTATTTTAATTGAGAATGCAACTTATTCGAAAGCTCTATAGAAATCTGGCCAATTTGCATGCAAATTATGGAAGAAGAGATGTATTAGACAAGAATACTTAGTTCAATAGTTTTAAATATGGCAGCCAAGTGAAACGTAGATCTCTTACTTTGTTTAAGGCCATGTTCAAACATTCTGAATAAAATTCAAAAGGATAATTGTAGCACTGCTAAGATGTTGTTAAAGTTTGAAAAGACAAAGAAACTTACGTCACCAATAAGTTGGTGACTTCTCTGGGTTGCCAATAATCAAAAAGTACTAATTTTAGCATCTAACCTTCTACCTTTAAAATTGCAGACAGCAAAACTATAAGAAAATCTTTTTATAAAATCATAGTTTTTCTTCTGGAAATTGACTATATTCACTTAATAAGCTGCAAAATCAGAAAACAGTTTTTTTTAAATTAAAATACTATAAATTTTCACAAGTTTTGAATAATTATATATTTTCACTGCTATTAATACATGCATTTTCCCTCCACCCCACCAACATTCAAATTTTTTCGCTGCATAAAAGACTCTCCTCTATCCCTAGTAACATTTTTTAGTATTTTCTTATAGATTTCCCACTGCCGAATCAAAATAAGATACTTATCTGTCCATCAAGGAACCAATGATTTACTCACCTGTGCCAGGAAATTCCTCTCAATCCATACACTTTTTTATTACATTTTTACCAAATAACTTAAACAGTTACCCTATAATATGAAAGAGAAGTAGATATGTCTTTCTCTCATATTTAACGAGTTCTATTTTTCTCACCATACAATATTTTATGCACATGTTTTACTATCATTATTTTTATCACTATACAATATTTTATGTATATATAATTTACTATAATTTTTATGACAATTGTAGCCATTTTTTGCTCAACTATTCCACTCTTATTAAAAAACAAAATGCTTAAATTTTCTTCTAGTTCCAGCAATAGTGTAGTATAGATTCCTAAAGTCCTTATAAATACACTCTACAGTAGGGATCCCCAACTTTTTTGCACTTTAGAGTGCATTCTTGAACACCAGTGCACTGGCACACACATTTACTTTTTCAAGGTAAGTTTATAGGTTGACATAGTTACATACATATAATACAAACATAATATACAATAAGAATTTTTAAAATATTTACGCTATAAAGATTATTGGATACTATTCTCTTACTGAGACCAGATTCAGAAATGTATATATATATGCATGTGTGTATGTATGTCCATATATATTTGTGCATACATATATAATTTGAATTTAACAAATATTCTCTCATTCGTATAAAGCTAATTTAAATTTTAAATTATGAAAATTTAATTGTATACTAATAAAAGATTAATTATTGTTGCGAACTAATTTGCAATATCATTTAAGTTATGCGTACATGAACACATGCATTTCTAAATTCGGCCCCGATAACAGAAGACTGCCGGTTATTGATTGTAATTTTACATAAATAATTCAGACAAATTTTACAAATTCTTTGGTTTACATTTTTTTAGCATAAAAGTGTTTAATAAAAAATGTAACTCTTATATTCAATGTGATATTTGACATTACATTTCACTGGATACCGCTTCATAATTAGGAAAGTTACGATGACATTCCTGATTATGAGCAATCATCAAGATGTTATTTGTACGTTGATTCTGCGGCATTCATTGTTAAAACACTGATTCTGTGCCATTCATTGCTGAAAACAATAATTCACATAAGTATGTTAAACTAAAAAATGATTTTGTTTAGGGCAATGCTCCAGAATGAAAATTTGTTTGTATCATCTATATTTCAGAAGTTGCCCCTCTGAAACATGGGTTTTGCACAATGTCACATTGAAGATACAAAATTTCTATTTCCAGTTCTTCCGTACTTGCTTAACCCTCTAAGCGGAAAGCTAGAATCTAAGCTAGAATACTTTTGTGATATCTGTAGGAACATATAAAGTGCAAAGTCCGTAATCCGGACTCATCGGGACTTTGGCGATTCCGGATTAGGGGTTTTTTCGGATTATACATCATCAATTTAAATCTGGTAAGATGGCATGCAGAAATTTATACAATTAAAAATATAAAATTGTAATTTATAAATAAATAACAATTATGATCAAAATTTACAAAATACAAAGGATATCAAAATTTACCAAAAAAAAAAAAGCTTAATATTTATTTGTTTACTTTATTAAACATTTCTTTCAATGCAAGTTGTTTAAGTTGCTTCCACAAAAAATTCAAAAAGTTCCTTTTTCTTTTTGCTTATGTCATATACAGTTGGCTTTCCAATGTCAATACTCCTCGCATAATTTTGAAACAGATATGCCTTTATCCATTTTTTGCAGCAACTCCACTTTTTGTTTGATGGACATCAAAACATGCTTTCGCTTTGTAGATCCTTTGGCAGCTCCAGAACTGGAGACTCTTTTTGACATAATTGAAAGTTCAAGTTTAATTTTTATAAAATTGCTCTAACAGTCTGCAAAAAATAATAAGCCGGATCCAATTAGAAGATTAAGGAACAGTGCAACCTGCAAGATTAACTGAAATGCCTTAGAATCAGTAAAGATAATTTTAGTCTAGCTTATACTGTCCATTATACATTAAATGTGCATGCGTAAAGCATACAAAAAAAAGTTTGTGGCTTTGGGGTCCGATAATGGACATCCAGATGACAAAGATCATCATAGATCATTCCGGATAATGGACATCCAGGTTACGGACTTAGTACTGTATATATAGTACGTGCATATTAAAACATGTCAAAATAATTAAGGCAATATATCAAAAGAAAACAAATTCAGGTATGAAATACCAGGAGAGTTTTTACATTAGAATAAAGAAAATAATTTGTTCTCATAGTAGTTTTGGGAAATTTGTGCTTTCTTAGCGAAAATTCTGGCCACTCAGAGGGTTAAGTAAAGTTGGCACTGCATGCAGATAGTTTGGTTAGGTTAAATTTACTTGCTAAGTAAAATGACTGATGAAAAATTTGGCCATTGGCTCGATAAGACTGAAAAGTCTTATCGAGTTGAAACTGTTTTGGGTACTTTTCCATTTTCCCGGTGCAAACGATAAAGTTGCCAATAATGGTACAACTGATGGCAAATGGAATATTTTATGCCTCATTTTCAAAACAAGTCACAGCCATTTCTTACCAGATTGATTGTTTCTTTCAATACCGGCATACAATTACATAGAATATTTACAAAGATAATTAAATTTTATGCCCTAAGACCATTTGCGGTATTAATTACTACAAATAGTCTTAGGGCATAAAATTGCAGTATAAATTACCATGAATGGTTAGGAAGCAATCATACCGCTCACCCGAAGGCGAAAAATATAGAAAAGGCAAAATCAAGGGTTAAATTCATCAATTCTAATGAGAGTGCACAAGCGAAGTAAAGCAATGCGGTTTTAAATAATTCCTTTGTAAACTATTTGTATGAACTGAAATAATTCTTGCATTTAAACTTATATTTCAAATTAAGATTTAACCCGTTTAGTACCGGCGTGTCATATGTGCATCAGCAGCGAACATTACCTCACGGCCGGGTGTGTCATATTTGAATCGCCATTTAATTCACTCCATGGTCGGGCATACCACATTTGACTTTTTAGATAGAACATTTAATTAGTATTTTTTGTTGTCACTAGATGTAGCTGTATATCTGTTATGGGGAAATTTATCGAAAGTTAAGTACGTGTACCTACATTCCTATGCAATTTTTTTTTATTTTTGGTATTTTGTTTCGCAATGAGAGGGAGATTCGTGGGTGGGTGTTGAGCAATGTAATGTCTCTTTAAATGTGTCATTTGTTATAAACAAATGCACATGTTCTCGATGCTTTGCAGTACTTTTTATTATTATTTTTGCAATATAGATATCTGAACGTA